AAGTTATTTGTAACTAAGTCATAGTGAGCTATGACCTACATTTGAAAACCTAAACTTGGTGCTGATATCTCAAATTCTAGAAGAGTTGGTATAAATTTCATATTTTTTTCGAAATCGCTTCGAAAAACTGCCATGAGAATGTGAAATTAGTATCTGAATATTTTCATAAATAAAGAAGTTACGGAGGAGACATGAAAATGAACAAAATCTGTTTTTTGCGTATAAAACAAAAACGAATAGATTTTATCAAAATATTTTTTCACATTATAGTTGGCCTTGACAAACTCCACATTTGGTGTCATTTAACCGACCTCGTATCTCTCACCGTTAAAAAGATACCCATGGTGAGCATGGTAAGTGGGACACACTGTATATACACTTCATCATTGATAATGACTACTTCAAAGGCTCTTGATCCATTTCCTCGGACATACCAGTGGCGGAGAGTTTAACGCCTCGTAAGGTTCAACCCCCAAACTTTCATGCCACTGGAGAAATCGTAATTTTCAAAGCACATTCTGAAGCGCCATAATCTTTCACACAAAAAAGTTCCTCTTGCTTCAATGCACTGGAGTTAACAGTTTTCGAGAAAAATGGCGATTTATGAATAAAAACATACAAAATCCTTTTATAATTTTTAATGAGCTTCAGACAATTTTCAGAGGTACGAGGATTTTGTATGTTTTTATTCATAAATCGCCATTTTTCTCGAAAACTGTTCACTTCAGAGCATTGAAGCAAGAGAACCTTTTTTGTGTGAAAGATATTGGTGTTTAAGAGTGTGCTTTGGAAATCACAATTTCTCCAGTGGTATGAAAGTTTGGGGGGTTAAACCCTTACGAGGCGTTGAACTCTCCGCCACTGAAATGTCCAAGGAGATTGGCGAAGAGCCTCAGAAGTAGTCATTATTAATGATGAAGCGTGTACAAAGGCTCAGCTCCGTAGCTCAAACGGTTCCTGAGATAGAAGCTAAAAACTGTTTTTTTTGACGCCCTGTATATTGAAAACGGAAGCCCGGAGAAAAATTTCGTGAAAGGAAAAAAATCTCTTTTTCCGTTTTGACACTTATTTGTATATGCTATATGTTTTACACAATGATAGAAATTGGTATTTATTAGGTATACAATGGAAAAAAGTATAGAAGTTTAGCTCGAAGATTGTGTTAAGACAAAAAACCGAAAGCTAAAATCTAATATCTTTCCCGTGTATAATACACATTTTTTTCTGTGACGGGAAAAACGACATATATATTATACATACAGTGTGTTCCAGCAAAAACTTGTCACCCCCCTTATCCCAGAAGTTGTTAAAAAAATTGAAAATCACTCGGACTGGTCGATTTAAATTTGGCGGGGGACAAATTTTTCTGTAACTACCATATCCCAAAGTTGAAACCTTGAAGCGGAAAGGGCATCAACTTTCGATTTTCAAATGGAACACCCTGTATTTCATTGCATCTTCAAATTCTTCATGAAGAGCTGATTTCCTCAATGCATCACACTTGGGATCTAGCGGGAATGATTACATGCAGAGATATAGGTTGTTCAAAATCGAGATTTTTCAACTTTAGGATTTTTTTGTATCGAAACTATTCCTTATCGGTCAAAGCGGCTCACATGTCTCTATCTCAACTTTTGATTTACTATTAACTGATATTTTATCGGAACAGATACAGGGTGGTTCAAGATTCAGAATTCTAATCACCCTGTATTTGTTCCATTCGAGAATCGAGAGTTGATGTCCTTTCCGCTTGAAGGTTTCAACTTTGGGATATGGTAGTTACAGAAAAATTTGTCCCCCGCCAAATTTTAATCGACCTGTCCGAGTGATTTTCAATTTTTTTAACGACTTCGGAGATAAAGGGGGTGACAAGTTTTAGCAGGGACACACTGTATATTAAAGTCAGAAAATCGGTAATATTTGCACAAGTGCATAAAAATTACCGATAATCTTGCTATAGAAAAGTTGGCGATCTGGCTCTATTTTATGTATGTATATTTTCATGGACGATGTTCTTCTGAAATATCAATAACAATTGTTCCTCCCTTGGCAGTCCCCGCGAGATTAACCCGTCGAGTTGAGGCTTCGCACCCCTTCGTGGTCACTCTGGAGACCTGCAGAACATCTCTTTCCAAAGACTCGTTCATCCAACGAACAGCGAGGCTCTGGAACACATTGCCAAGCTCGTTGCCAAGGGAGGTGTTCCCCGAGGCATATAACTTCCAGAAATTCAAGAAGAACACCAATTCCTACCCTATTTCCCTTGGTTCTCACGATGTTCTCTGAACATTACAGGATATCCCTTTTCGTGGGAACCAGAACATAAAAAAGTGTGCTATTCAAAAATTGCAGTAGTTTACTTTTTCATATTTTGGCGATTGAGCCCGAGACCGAAGGAGGAAGCTTTCACAAAATTATCTGGTAATTTTTATGCACGAATGTAATTCATTGGAATATTTCACAAATGAAGAAATTCTTGAAGAAATGTTTTTTTATTCTGAGAAATATCATAATACTGACAAATATATTATAAATAAAATATGCTATAAGACATTCAGATTCTATAGAGCACTCACCGAAACCCGACATTTTTTTTTTTCACTATTTGAAGTCTATCTGGACATTTGTTTGTATCGTTTACTGGCGTCTAGCAAATCGGATTCAAATGTGTTGTTATGACGACGGGGTATTTTCGCTGTGTTATATTCGACTGCAGTGCAATAACCTCTGAAATTTTTTGAATATTGCATTGCTCTTATGAGACATTGTATAATATCATAGAAATATATAAAATTCGAAGTTTTAAACTGGTAGGCTGTTGTACCTTTAGCGGCAACGTTGCTAAAAAAACCTCTAAAGTTTCCGAATATCTGTAAATTCAATTCTGTGATTTGATTTAACAATTGCGAACTTAGTGGTTATGTTTAGTAGTTATTTTGAATAATAAAAAGTTATTGACTGATTTCAAGTTTTCTTTTACTCGTTATCGGAGTTAGTTGAAGCAGCGAAACTATCGGCATCGAAATTTTTCGAGGAAATTGTCCAAATTTTCTTGTGTGCTTGCATAGAATGAATAATAAATTGAAGTTCTTCAACTGAATCATTGATTGCGAACTTGAACCATGTTATGTTTGGTGCCTTGAACAGTTCAGAATATCAAAATTATTAAGTTGTTGTTTTCTCGATTGTTGCTTAAAACGAAATAAATTAAACAATTGGAAAGGAAAATAATTCAAAGTGTCACATTAATTTGGGAAAAAATCTTAATCCTCATTTGTTATCATTTCTGAATTCAGAATCCTTCCTTTTAAATTTTGTCAATATCATTATTTCTACTCTTTTAGTGGAAATCCGAACCTCCTATCTTGAAATTAATTATGCTTGTGACTCACATACTGCCTTGAAGTCCGTGGTTTATTGGTAATGGCTAAAAATGTATTCAGCAAACTTACCAGCTTTACACATTTTATCTTCATCAACATCAACGTTAGTCATGCTTTGTACATTTTTATCGTATATCGTCTAGGGACACGTTTATCACATACAAATGAACTGATGTATATTCGGCAGTGGGTTCTTGAAAAATATGACAAAATGAATATTTATACTGGGTGGCCGTGAGATTACTAGCCTACAGTTTCTTTCCTTTGAAAAATATCATCTGTTTGAAATGGTGGTATCTTTTTTGTTTGCTTTTAGGCAGATTTTGAGCAACCAGCATGCTTTCAATGACAGTTTCTATCATGTCATCGGCTTGGTTATACTGGCCCACTTAAGTGTGAAAATTTGTTTCAAGGCGTAGAGATCCGAGGATTAGTTCTATAGTTCTGATTATACATGTAGAATACGAGCTACAAAGTCTACAATCACAACGTACATCATTAACCAGATATTCCCATTTAAACGTGCATCTATGTATCAATCACCCCATAGCGCTTTGATTACTAATTCTAAGAGACTCTCGTCATCGATATCTCACTGAAATGAGGATTTATTTTTGGAATGTCATCAGATGGCGCTATTGGAAGTCGAAAAAGTCGGGTTAAGATTATTATCTCTTGTTTATGAATGCTGGATTATGCTTTTGTCAGGTCAGCTATCACTTGAGACGGAGATCCACCTATTTCTGTCTGATGGGACTTCCCTTCACATGAAACCGGTCTCCAGGAGATTAGGTGGTACTTGACCTCAATTCGAGCACAGTTTGGCATTTGAGAAAATAACACATCAATATGCGTTTGAAACAATAATTGTTGCATTTATTTTGGGAGGATGTAATTCAATTTCCTATTAGTGAAGTAATTGTTTTTCTCTTGTTATCACCCATTGTTGTTCAATTGAATATAATATGTGGAAATTACCTTGAGTTTCGGATTCTCGGAATTTCTGACTGAACGATGAATATTAGTCAAAGTGATCGAATCAATAGATGATATTTTTTTGAGAATGATGAACAGTGCAATTATTAATACCCTAATATTCTCACACACTTGATTTTTTCGGAAATAAATCAAATGTATAAGCGACCATGAGTAAATGAAATAATATCTTGATGTCTTTTCATGAATATTGGATCATCAAGTAGGTATAGATTTATTACAGTTCATTCGATAAAAAGAAAATAAACATATTTAGTTTGTTTCTCTAAACAAACCAAAAAGCAGCAATTCATTTTTGGAAAGAAATATTTTGGAAGATATTGAGCTTCAAAGAGTTTGCCTGATACTTCTGTAAATCATTGATCAGAGGTTGATCGTTGAACCCAAGCGTTTGCTTTCGTCGAGGCCGGATACACCGGGGGTACCAATGTTTTCTGATATGTAGCCGGACGTTCAATAATAGTTAGAAGATGTCTTATAACAAAAAGCCCATTTTATTTATCGCCCCAATTTCGAAAACACTCTGTACAGCATTATATTATTATTATTATAACTTTTCCCTCAAAAGATATGTTGATTATGTTATGATGTTTTAATAGAGTATTTTTTTTATGATTGCAGACATATTCCGGGCTTTTCTGCGTAGTGGTCAACCCCTACAAGAAGCTGCCAATCTACACAGAGAAAATCATGGAAAGGTATAAGGGCATCAAAAGGCACGAAGTTCCTCCACACGTATTCGCCATTACGGACACTGCCTATCGGTCTATGTTACAAGGTAATTGTTTCATGGTTTCATGGTAATTGGTTCACGTTTGCCCGTATGTGCCCCATAGATAGATAGATACTTTTACCTACTACCAATATGTAATGTGAAACATTACGACACTGATTTTAGTATCGTAATGAGATACTTTACCGCACTAGGTAAAGTGAAAAGAATATAATTTCAAATTTTATTTTTACTCAAAAAAAGAAATGAGAACCAATTTATCATGAATATAGCAGGTACAACGTTTCGATTGCTGCATTCGCCGCAATTTCTACAGGGTGTCCCATTGGGAAACGGAAAAACTCAACAGTGGGTAGAGCTCATCAAGGTGGTTCTGGTTCTGGATATTCCATATTTGTAGGGTCTCGCAAGTTTTATATCCGAGATATAGGGTGTTTTATCAATTTTGTTCAATTCTTTGTGAGGACATAACTTACGAACCACCCAGTATATTCATTTGGAAGTTGGTACACAATTTCGCCTTCTTCTACCAAAGCGACTCACCTATCAGTCACGAGAAGAATCCAGGACCGGATCAACGAAAATTGATCATATATCTGGACCCCAAAAATATCACCCTGTATTTTCGAATTTTCAAAATCCGCTCACATATTTGGAAAGTGCATGAAAATCTGAATCGAATGATGCACTTTCCATTTTTCCGCATGCTATTTCACTAGGTAATTTCTGATTTTCAATATGAGGTTTCATGCATTTGGATAGGTAAAAATGAAATGTTTTGAGTTTTCCAAATCGAATAACAGAAACTATCACGAATCACCCAGTATATTTTCTTTTGGAATTCGGTACACAAGTCCTCCTCCTTCTACCACAGCGACTCACCTATCAGTCTTGATGAAAATCCATGTCCGGATTAATCTGGGCCCGAAAAAGAACACCCAGTATTTTCGAATTTCCACAATCCGATTCCATATTTGGAAAGTTCACAAAGAGGTGAATCGAATTGTGTACTTTTCAATATCCCGCATGTTCTTTCACTAATTAATTTCTTATTCTGAAAACTCAAAACTTTCCATCTTACCTCGATTTCTACCTATCCAAATGCATAAAACCTCAAATTCAAAATTAGAAATTCAGTAGTGAAATAGCATTCGTATGAAAACGGAAAGTAGACAATCCGATTCAGCTTTTTGTGCAATTTTCAAATATGTAAGCATATTATGGAAATTCGAAAATACAGGGTGTTTTTTTTTTGGGGCCCAGAAATATGATCAATTCTCGTTAATTCGGACCTGGATTTTTCTCGTGAATGATAGGTGAGGGGCTTGGGTAGATCAAGGAGAACTCGTGTACCAAATCCAAAAAAAATATACTGGGTGGTTCGTGATAATATTATTCGATTGGGAAAACTCAAAACTCGAGAATTCGAAAATACAGGGTGTTCTTTTTGGGGTCCAGATATATGATCAATTTTCGCTAATCTGGACCTGGATTTTTCTCGTGGATGATAGGTGAAGCCCTTGGATAGAATAAGGAGAACTCGTGTACCAACTTCCAAAAGAATATACTGGGTAGTTCGTGATAATTGTTGTTATTCGATTGGGAAAACTCAGAACATATTATTTTTACCTATCCAAATGCATAAAATCTCGAATTCAAAATCAGAAATTTCTTAGTGAAATTGCATGCGGAAAAATGACAAGTACACCATTCGGTGCAGCTTTTTGTGCACTTTCCAAATATGTAAGCGGATTTTGATAATTAGAAAATACAGGGAGTTCTTTTTGGTGTCCAGAAATATCATCAACTTCTGTTAATCCTGACCTGGATTTTTTTCGTGACTGATAGTTGAGTTGCTTTGGTAGAAAAAGGAGGAATTGTGTACCGAATTGCGAAAGAATATACCAAGTGGTTCGTAAGTTATGTCCTCACAAAGAATTGGGCAGAATTGATATAACAACCTATATCTCGGATATAAAACTTGTGAGACCCTACAAATAGGGTATATTCAGAACCACCTTGATGAGCTCTACTAACCGTTGAATTTTTTCTGTTTCCCAATGGAACACCCTGCATACAGAATCTAAACTTTCCTGATTCGAATTCATGCTGATGAATTTTTTCTCGAATTGAAATTAACGCGTCAAAGTTGACAGTTCGCCGAATGAGTGACATCCGAGAATACAATAGATTCACGACAACCCAAACCTTGCAACGCTTGCTTGTTACATATTCCTAATTGAATATTTTTGATTAAATAATTAGCTTCATGGTAGTAGGTAAAATACTGTCTGTAGGTTAATCGAGGAGGTGGTACATTCATTATTCCAAATTTTTGGGATTTTCTCTCCTCGTTTCTATAAAATAAAAATATGAATATTATTTCAAAATACGTGTAGTAAGGACAAATCAGATGATTTGCCCCAAAATGTCACTGCGTTTAAAGAATTTTCCTATCAGAGAGCCTAAAAGAAAAATTCACTAGCTTGTCAGTGACAATTTGTATTGAAAAATTTTTGGAGAAGAGAAATAAAGGTATATAGAAAAAATATCAAATTTTCACTTATCTTTGGACGTTTCGGGACCGATTCTGCTCCCGTTTTCAACATGAAGAGATTTTTTCAATTGCGAAGTCGTATAATATGTCTTGAAGCTTTTCAGTTTTCAATGACAATTGGTGACGTTAGCAATCAAAGGAGTTACAGGATGTTTTCATTAATTAATCTTGTAACGAGACTCTTCAATTCAGGGGAAAACGGGGCGTGGTGGTCTCAGAAGTCAGAAAAACACCAGATTAGGATAGTCCGTTTTATTGGTTCCTGCCGGCCACACGGCGTTAGTTTCGTGATGTTGAGATATAATTTTTGAGCTAAAAGACAATGCAAAATGAAGATATAGCCTAACTTGTATAAAATCAGAATTAAAGCTCAACAAGAAAATACGTTAACACAAATACCAAATCTTTAGCGCCCTGTAGGTATAAAACAGAATACATATACACATACAGAAAAAACTGCACAGGTCATTTGAGACAAAATAATAAAATATCGTCTAAAGAAAAGCTTCACCTACCTAAAAGACAATGCAGGCACAAAGGATATCTTTCCAACGAAAAGAATCCTTCTTCAAACCAAGGGCACTTTCAATTTAGCTTGCAATTATTTTGGCTGAAAAATCAGTTAGGCATAATACAAAGCCGATTACTTTTCTCTTTGGAGTCTTGATGGTAAAAGCCTTGATATCCAATGAAAACCGAAAAAAAGTGGGTATTTAACGTCCGAATAAATAAACTAGCAAAACACAGCGCAAAAACCCATCCGCGCGGCGGAGGCAGCTAATTTTTATCGCACTACGCTTCGCAAACGAAGATGATACTACAAGGTACGACTGATAAATAAAACCCTATACTGGGCGAATCATTTTTACACGACACGACATATTAAAAAGATGGCAACGGAGGGTGTTTCGCTACATCCGATCCCTCTCCAGGACGAACTCGCGAAATGGGACATTTTTCAACGTTCCAGAGTCGCGTAGGAGGCTAGATTAACTACAACATGGTCAAGGTGGTTCGAAATAAGCCTTCAAATGGGAGGCATGAAAAACACCCCGTTCGTTGGCAGAATGGATATCTTCCAAAACGTACGTGTCATCTCGTATTTGCTTTTTCAGGCGGAACGGACCTTCGAACAAGAGTAACAGTTTTTTTGTTTCTGATCGCATCGCAGAAGACATATTATTCGCCTTCAATAATACTAACTCCCCAGGCAAAAACTTACGATAAGGACGACCAGGGTGCTGAACAGCGCGACGGTCAGCCTTACTTTTGAAGTTCTCTGCAGCCAAGACAAGCTTTTGGGCATGGGTTGTCTTTGGTTCCGGTGTTTTGGGATAGAGAGATGGGGGCAATAGCCTCACGCGGTCTTGTCCGAATTCCAGTTCCATTGGACTGAATCCTGTTGTCTCATGTACCACCGAGTTCAGGAACTCCTGGAATTTCGGCAATTCGACGACCCACCTACTATGTCGGTCATGGCAGTAGGTACGGAGTATACGAGCTATTTCCCTCATACATCTTTCGGAAGGATTCGCACAGGGATGCCTAACAGCGACGTACACGAGCTGAACTCCCAAGTTTCCCAACGTGCTCTGCCACAGCTTGGACTTGAATTGGGTGGCATTGTCTGATAACATTCTCAAAGGCTGGCCATGCTGCGGAAAGTATTGTTGGGTTAATTTATTCAAAAGTGCACGGGTAGTGGCCTTCTTCACAGGAAAGAGAGCTACGTACTTCGTGAATACGTTGAAAACTACGAAAATGTAAGTGGCACCACCTCGGCTGCGAACGAGCGGGCCCAAGACATCAATGGCCACTAAATCATTTTTGGATTCGGGGATTATCTGTTTTTGCGGTGGGTTTGGCAACGTCGAGATTTTTGCCTTCTGACATATGTCACAACATTTGACATACTTTTTAGTTAAACGTTGAAGATTAGGAAAATACACTTCGTTCTTCAGGGCAGCACAGGTTTTATAAACCCCTGGATGACCTAATGCTTCATGGAAAGAAACGACAAAATCTTTAACCAAGACTTCGGGTATGCATAGTAGAAAAATTTCCTCAGCGGCCCGTTTGAAAACGATGTCTTTATGTATTAGGTAGTTTAATTTATATTTTTCATTGTTAGCAAAATTCAATTTTATTTCCGAAATCAGGGTATCTACACTTTGATAATGTTTAATTTTCTTGAGAATTTTTGAGAGTGATGGAGAGATATCGAGTTTGTTCAGCTGGAAACACTTATCTGAAGGGGTAGGCAGACGTGAGCATGCAAAGCGCGACAAAGCATCCGCTGAAAAGTTCATTTGCCCCGAGATGTGTTCGATCCTGAACCTATACTCCTGGAGGACGAGAGCATACCTTGCTATCCTTGGGGACAGCAAACGACAGGAATTGAGATAGACCAACGTCTTACTATCTGTGAAAAGAACGAATTCGTTTCCCAAGAGGTACGTTCTCCATCGCTGAATGCAGAAAACAGCCG